AGTTTGGGATTCCTCTAGTCCAGCCTTTTGCATGATATATTCTGAATATAAGTTAAATAAGCAGGGGAGACAATGAGTGCAATTGTATGGTAGTTGAAGCATTCTTCGGCACTGCCCTTCTTTGGGATTGGGATGTAGACCTTCTTGTCTCTCCTTGTCATTCTTTGGAAGTCAGCATTCCATTTTCTGTAACTTTCCCTATCTCCCTTGCATTTTGTTTCCCTTCTCGCCTCTGCTATTTGTAAGGCCTCATCAGACAGCCACTTTGCTTTCTTGCATTTCCTTTTCTTTGGGATGGTTTTTGTTGCTGCCTCCTGTACAATGTTACGAGCCTCCATCCACAGTTCTTCAGGAACTCTGTCCACCAAATCGAGTTCCTTAAATCTGTTCTTCACTTCCACTGTGTATTCATAAGGGATTTGGTTTAGATTATGCCTGACTAGCCCAGTGGTTTTTCCTACTCTCTTCAGTTTAATCTTGAATTTTGCTATGAGAAGCTGACGATCAGGGCCACAATCAGTTCCAGGTTTTGTTTTTGCTGACTGTATAGAGCTTCTCCATCTTTGGCTGCAGAGAATATAATCAATCTGATTTTGGTATTGCCCATCTGGTGATGTGCATGTGTAGAGTCGCCTCTTGTGTTGTTGGAAAAGAGTGTTTGTGATGACCAGCTTGTTTGCTTGACAAAACTCTATTAGCCTTTGCCCTGCTTCGTTTTGAACTCTAAGGCCAAACTTACCTGTGGTTCCCTTTATCTCTTGACTCCTTGCTTTAGCATTCCAGTCCCCTATAATGAGAAGAACATCTTACTTTGGTGTCAGTTCTAGAAGGTTTTGTAAGTCTTCATAGAACTTGGTCAATTTCAGCCTCTTCAGCATCGGTGGTTGGTGCATAAACTTTGATTGCTGTGATGTTGAAAAGTCTGCCTTGGATTCATATTGAAATCATGCTGTCATTTTTGAGATTGTATCCCATTACAGCCTTTCCCACTCTTGTGTTGACTATGGCGGCTACTCCATTTCTTCTACAAGATTCCTGCCCACAATAGTAGATACGGTAATCATCTGAATTGAATTCATCCATTCCCGTCCATTTTAGTTCACTGACGCCCAGGATGTCAATGTTTATTCTTGCCATCTCCTGTTTGAACACATCCAGTTTACCAAGATGTATAGATCTTACACTCCAGGTTCCAAGGCAGTATTTTTCTTTGTCGCATCGGACTTTCCTTTCACTTCCAGGCACGTCCACAGCTGAACGTCCTTTCGGTTTTGGCCCAACCACTTCATTAGCTCTGGAGCTACTTGTCCTCCACTCTTCCTCAGTAGAATGTTGGATGCCTTTCAACCTGAGGGGCTCATCTTCCAGCATCATATCTTTTAGCTTTTTGTTTCTGTCCATGGAGTTTTCTTGGCAAAGATACTGGAGTGGCTTGCCAGTTCCTACTCCAGGTGGATCGCGTTTAGGCAGAACTCTCCACTATGACCTGTCCGTCTTGGGTGGCCCTGCACAGCATAGCCCATAGCTTCTCTGAATTACTCAAACCCCTTTGCCAGGACAAGGCAGCAATCTGTGACGGGGACTCTTCATTTGTTAGTCGCTATAATAAACATATTTTCTAAAGGATCAGCAGCATCTTTCTGGGATCCAGAACATTTTTTGTGAAATGCTGTTAGATGTTTTTAAAAATGATTTGTCTCCCCAGGATGGGTAGATGTGTCTCCATGGAGACTGAAAGCCCATGTATGAGACTGGCCTGGCTAGGGTTTTATCTTTGAATGGAGACAGAAACAAACAGCAAAGAAAACATATAGCAAAGAACTGCTGGATAGCTCAGTACTTTAGGCATCTGGCTGTGGAGGTGGAAGTTGGGAGTTCGATTCCCCACTGGGCCTCCTTGACAGGAGGTGGACTTCACAAGCTTCAGTTGGACAGTGTTACTTAGCCTGCGGTGTAGATGTTTGTGTTCTTATTGGGGATTTTTAGTGGGTGGGCAGTGTTTGGGGACTTTTTATGTGTGTGCATGTGGGCCTGGTCTCTGGGTGTCTGTATGAATTTCGTTGTATGTGTATATTATGTATGTACTTATAATGACAATAAATTTATTTAAATTTAAACCTATAAGGCAGAGACTTCTAATCTTATAAGTTTTAGTGTATAACAAACGTGTACATTTCTCTTTTTTAAATAATGTATATTCTCCTAATATAATTCTGTACATATAACAGCTACCGTACATGTTTATTTTTAAAGTCAAAGGACTCCTATTAATGAATAGATGGAAGCAAATTTGGGTTGTTTGACTACTAGGAATGACTTCTTGGTAAATCCCCAGGAATGATTTCTTCAAAGTGTGAAGAGATGTTGGTTAAGAATCCAAACTAATAATTTCATAACTTATTAATATTGTTTAGGCTGCAGTCCAATATACTATGGATCAGAAAGGGAGCCCTTTGTGTTTGGATCACAAGCTGCCTCTTCTCATACCCTTATCCAAAAAAAAATCTCACTAAACTTTATAACTGCTTACTTGCATGGATAGGATTGAGCTCTTAGGCTACTTTAAACTCAGAACTCTGCTGCCCTAGAACTAAACTGCAGCCACTTTTTGTGGGAGGGGGAGCTCGTAACACAAATAATTAAATACATTATTGCCTGTGTATTAATTCTTCCAACACAACTAAGAGGGCAATTCTATACAAGTATATTTGGAAGTAAGTTCCATTGATGGAACATTGCAAGTGAGGGAGATGAAATTTGATCATATCATCCCAACACCTTATCCACATGCACAGGTTACTGGTTCACCTCCATGCCAGATTCAAGTTCTTGGTTCTACCATATAAAGTCCTAAACAGTTTAGGACCTTGTTACTGGTTTGGACTTGGTTGAATGTCAGGTTTGACGGCCCATCTGACCTGGTCCTCATAGACCTCAGGCCTGCAGGTGTTGACACCTTGAGAGGCCCATAAAACATCAACTAGAGGCCAGGTCTTCTCAGCTGTGGTGACCTCCTTATGGAATGTGATACCCCAGCTGCCCTCCCTTTGCACCTTTAAAACATGGCTGAAAATTGAGCTTTTAAGGAAAACTTTTGGAGAGATCCTCCCCAATTAATTGGGGTAGAAGAGAAAGAAGGAAGGCTACATACTAAATTGAGCGACAATTTATTTTGCCACCTGTCTTGTTATTTCCACCAAGGGATTTAGTTAACTTTTATATAATTTGTCTCTATAATTTATGTTTCTTTATTTCTGTTATACACTGCCCAGAGTAGCAATTGCTAGATGGGTGGTATAAAAATCAAATAAATAAATAAAATAAATGAAATTTATCCCCATGTAAAAGTGTAAAGGTATGGCTGGTTGGATAGCTCAGTGATTTTGGCATCTGTCTGCAGAGCCAGAGGTTGGGAGTTTGATTCTCCCTTCCTGGAAGAGGAGCCAGCCTGCGTGTGGCCTTGGGCAAACTTGCACAGTTCCAGGGCACCCTCAGAAGAAGGGAAAGGTAAACCACTTCTGAGTATTCTGTACCTGGAAAACCATAAAAAGGGTTAACATTAGTCAGAATTGACTTGTCAGCAGATGAGGATGATGATGATGATGATGATGGTGGTGGTGGTGGTGGTTAAAGATGTATGCAATTGCAGCCTAAGTTTTATGTTTAACTAAATAAACAAATCTATAGACAAACTATATGAATATCTGTATGTTCGAGCGATGTTACACATTCTGTGCCGGCGCGCATATGCTTATTGCTTTCAAAGGTTGTATTCTCCTGCAAAGACTTTACAGATAAATATTTATCTAGCTTTTAGAAGAAAAGCACTAACAGAATAACATTTTTAAAATGTACTATATGCTGTAATCATTTATGAAATATTTCTAAACTGGTTAATAGATTAGTAAATACATTCTGGAATATATTTATACACACACAAGAGGTAGGTGTGTGTGCGTGCGTGCGTGTGTGAGTGAAAATGGACAAAGGGAACATAATACCTCTGTTTACTCATACACCAGGTAGGGGCCTGATAATAACCAATCTGAACTCATCTCTGCCTTCATGTATCCGTTATGTCTCTCCACCTAATTAACTTGTCAATCGGGCTAACTATCCATCAATCAACCTGTTCGCATTCCTTCCCTGTGCCCCCCCGCCCCCACCCACCCACTACACACGCACACGGCAAGCTCTCCAGGTACGGAGGACCATTTTATTCCTTCCTCTTAATTCTCCATCTCTGTGTCTCTCCCCCCACCACCACTTCCCCGTCCACCCTCCCATCTGGAGTTCATTCATAAAGATCCGCAGTCCCTTCCCCCGCCAGCACCAGGTCTTTTCACGCATCCGGCGAGATGCCAGCAGCCGCAAAGGGGGGCAACCCCCCGCTATAGCTGGGGAGGGGGGTGTTCACTGTTTACCCACCCAGCCCCACACACGACCCACCTCTTCTTGAGGGGAAAAAAGGGAGAGATGCTGGCCAAAGCGATCCGATGGCTGGGGTTCTTCGCCGCCCTGACAGCTGCCGGGGCCGGCTGGGAAGCAGGTGAGTGGAGGGTAGGTACCTGGGTGGGAAGGGTGCTGGGGGGGGGGGCGAGGAATGCAGAATTAGGTTTCAGCCGATGGGGGGGGCAGAAAGGGACGCGCATGATTGACTGGTGAACGAGGAAACAGGCAGAAAAATACAGGCGGGCGGGAAGAAAACAGAAACCTGATAAATCAATATTCAGCTCATCCGATAAGAAGGAGGGCTGAAAACCAAGGGGGGGCGGGGGCGCAATAAGCAATTCGGAGTGAAAGAATAAATGGGGGGGTTTTAATCACCGCTGCAGGAAACATGATGCTCTACTAGCCTGGTGTTTGAGGCTCCCGGCATGGCAGCAATCGCGTCGCCCTTTCTGCCCCCTTTACTCTAACTTATCAGAGGGGTCGCTCGATGGATGGGTGGGTGCAAAGGGGGGGGGGAATTTAATACTGCCCGAGTGGAACTCACTCTGTTTTAATCTCAAGCTTCTTCAGCTCAAATCCAAATAGGCTGAGGCTGGGTGTTCTGCAGACTGAGACGTGATGGGACGAAAGTACTGTGTGCATGCTTTGGTCTTGATTGTCGTATGAGATGCCCAGGCAATGAATCCTAGCTTCAAAGCCTGGGCTTGGATTAACTCTTGCCTCTTTTTTTTCACTTTTTCCGCCCGCATTTTGCTTTCAACCTTTATGGATACACTTCTCTGGGCATAATTGCTCATAGAGAACAAAAGACGTCTTGGCTGCCAGCCTTCTGACCAAACCACACGATGCTGCTTCCCCCCCCCTCCCCATGACCGCAGAAACAAAACTTCTAAAGCAACTTCCTCAGTTGATCACTGGGGAAAGATCTCTAGACCCTCTTTTCCACAATATTCTGGCACTTTTACAGTTCTGCAGCAGGCAGGCATTCAACAGGTGCTGACTGCCTCAGTACGTTTTACCTGTTGATTTGTGACTGTAGGAAGGCCACAAGAGGTGGGGAAGGGAGCAAGGTGTCAACTCAGCTTCCAAATCCTACTGCCTGTACAGTAGCACAAGAATCATTGGATTAACTATTTCTGTTTTTATGAATGACCTCATTTACCATCCTGCTTCGGGCTTCCCTGTTCGCTTTGACTTTAGCTTTAGTCCTCACTGTGCGTGCATATGTGTGCGCAGGGATTTTGTGGATTTCTATATCATTGGGGCAATCCTCGTAATACAAAGTGTTTTGGATTGTCCTTGTTCAGAAGGGACAGTTATGAACCATGATTGCCTTTATCACGATCATCTTAGAACTGCAAAGTATGGGACCCTATGGATCACTGGGGATTGTCATTTTCACTGGGCCTGCACTTCAAGGTTTATGACTACACCATTACTGCAAGGTACCAACAATACTAGTTTGTGTGTTCAGATCTCCTGGTTGCAACTTTCTCAAGAAACAATCTGCTATTTTGGTGGAATCAATTAAAGAAGCTGGCTGGATAGTTCAGTAGTTTTAGGCATCTGGCTGCAGAACTAGAAGTTGGGAGTTCAATTCCCCCACTGGGCTTTTATGAGTAGAGCCAACCTTTGTGGCCTTGTGTAAGCTACACAGTCCCAAGACATGCCCAGAAGAAAGGAAAGGAAAGCCACTTCTGAGTATTCTGGACCTGGAAAATCCATGGAAAGGGTTGCCATAAGTCAGAATTGACTTGACAGCGTGTGATTGTTAAATTAATCTAAGTAACAGAGTAGCTGGTATTTTAATTCTAAATCTCAGGGGCAAATGAATTAAGGTCTTACGCCTTTGGTCTTCTTCCAGGGAGAATCCCAAATCCCATTTCCAATCTTTAAAAGTCATCATTACTAAGTACCAGCATACCTCAAGGGCCACTTGCTCCTACATTACCCTCTCCAAATGTCAAAATTTTCTTCAAAGGTCTTCCTAGTAGCCTCCTGGCATAGTGGGTAAACTGCAGTATCCTAGTTAAGACTCTATTCATTACCTGAGTTTGATCCCAACCGGCTCAGGTAATTGCCTCAAGATTGACTCAACCATCTATCCTTCCAGGGTCCGTAAATTAACTAACCAGCTCATGGGAGCAGGGAACAATGTTTAGCCTGCGTAATTAAATTGTAAACCACCCAAAGAGTGCTCTATGGGGTGGGGTGGTATATAAACAGAACACTTTTTGCTTTTCATGTTACATTTGGAGTTGGAGACAAGGCAGACAGGCCCTTTTCCATGGTGGTGTCCTGTCTTAGGAAAACCCATTTCAGGAAGGTTATCCTGGTGCCAAGTCAGTTATCATTTCAATGTCTGAATATTATAGGCTACTGCTACTGGCAGTGTTTTTTTCTTAATGGAGTTGGTAAATGTACTAGGGCTAGTATTATAAAGTGCTAAGAATGGGAGGCACAGATCTAGCAAATAAATCTTCCTCATGGGAATTAAGGAAAGCAAAGGGCACTCACACCTCCTTCCAAATTCTAAATCCATCGAATATTTTAATTTACATATACACACTGTGTTGTGTTTGCCTATGCTTTTTAAAAATTACACAAACATACTACTGTGCAGCTCTCCAGCACCCTGGATAAATTCCTGCAGAAGCCCTTAACTTTTATAAAACTTAAAGCTTCCTTCAATAGCAAGAAGTGTTAGCCCCGATGATCCTTGAAATTTAAATGCCCCAGAGAAGGGGAGTAAACATGTTAGTTTGGTACAACAAAAACTCCAGGTCTTTGTGGTACCTTGGAGATGAAGAGATTTTATTTGGCGGAAGCTTTCATGGATCCTAGCCCACCTCACCAGATTCTTGGAGCCTCAGACTATTGCAGAGTTTTGAATTTTGGTTCATTCCTCTAGCTGTGCAACAGAAGTGCAGAGATTAACAGAGCAGAATTAGCTTCAGATTCACCAGAGTAGTCCTCCCCTTTTCTCATCAACTGGCACTTACAGTCTCAATAACTCACTCTGCCATTTGTAAGAAAAAGAATAAAATGTTTCATTTACTTACAGTGAACAAATAATGGCAAGCTAAAAAAAACATGAATACTTTGAGCAACGGGCCTCAACAGACTCGCTGCTTCCAACAGACAAAAGAGAGCTCTTAGCAGAGAGGTGTGGCTCTTCTCGAATTCAGAGGCAGAGAAAGAACAATTGGTTACTGTTAGATTGACAGTCACCCCAGCGCAGAAAGATCCCTCCCAGCCACACCTACTAGGCAGCATCCGAGATTGCAAAAACTCCAACAGAAACTATACTCAACCCATCTTATAATGTGGTCTCTGGTCTCTGTAAGCTCATGCCAAACAAAAGGGTTTCATCTTTGCTGCTCTTTGTTGCTCTTGAAACTCGTTGTTGTTATTAGCCGCCTAGAGTGGTTGCAATGACCAGATAGGCAGGGTATAAATTAAATAAATAAATGAATAAATATTGCAATGTTAACATGAGTACCGAGTTTACAAATGGGCTCCATACCTTCATTAGCCACGCTAGAGATCTCCCTATTGCAAAAAGGAGGACTTTACCAAGGGGTTGGTGGGTTCGGCTTTGTGCAAGCAGCATGGAAAAAGGAACTATACGCAGAATGGACCTGTCTGCAGGGGGTTTAATCAAATGGGATAATGGCCTAAGAACCTAAGTCTGAATCGTTGCTTCTGTTGCACCCTGTGGGAGCAAGCAGCTACCATGAAAACCAATAAGACTTGCACAGAGTTCGAAATGATTTACCTCCAAGGTTTCAGTATTACTGTCCTCACTTTGGAGACAGGGAGCCGAAGCTGAAGCATTTGCATTTTTCCTGAGGCAACTCACCGAACTCAACAGCTCAGTACAGATGTTTCAGGCCCATTGTGTTCAAACTGTTAACCACTGCACACTAGCAAAGCATGAAAGGCTCACAACCCCATTTCAAATGACAGAAGAAATGAATGCTTTCTTTGGATTATCTAGAAGATTATCTAGTAGAGAGGAAATACAGTAACCGACAAAAAGAAATGTAGCCTAGAGGTAGGAGGACGCCATGAAAACAAATGTCAACACAACCACTATGCATTTATTTGTGCTAAGAACTGGTTAGTACTTGAGGGGGGGGGAAACACTACCAGACAGTGTCTCCACAGAGCATTTTGAAGGTGTGTTGTAGTCCTTGCAATCATGAAATGGGCCTCTCTAGGCCTCTCCTCCTCAAGGTAGGAATGGGAAGATGGCGCTTTTTGTCACAATTACCTGGCTGAGAATACCCAAGGGTAATGGACTGGTTTGGAGGTTATAGGACAGTGGCAGCAAACCTATTTGGGGCCGAGTGCCCAAAATTGGGGGGGGGGGAACCAGCAGGCGACATGCTGCGGTGGCGGCGGAATCTGAAGTGGTGGCAAAATGGGGAATCCCAGGCATGGAGGTGCCTCGAGACCCCATTCTGGATCTGCTGCCGGCGCCAGCTGGCGAGACCCCATTCTGGATCTGCTGCCGGCACCAGCTGGTCCGGATCCTGGCCCACCCCCTGTTGAAGCGCCAGCATCATGGCTGCTGCCACCTCCTGAGCTTTGACTGCGGGGAGGGGAGGGGAGTAGCGATCCAGTGACTTATGGCTCAAGGGCTCTGCGTGCCAGTTGTGGCATATGTGCCATAGGTTCACCGTCGCTGTTATAGACTGGGCTATGTGGCTTGTGGAGTCTGCCTCCAAGACCTGGGCATAGTTGAGGGATCAGCTGGGAATCAGCTGAGGCAAGGCCACTGGGGACTCCCAAGAACTGCTATCGGAGGCTGTGAATTCACTGGGCCTCACTAACAGTAGGGATGTCCCTGTTAACTAGAGCTTGGGAGTAACAAATGACAAGTAACCATTTCATCAGTGTAATACAAGTTTTTTCCCCCTTTGTTATTTTTTTAAAAGTAATGAAATTACAATATTGTGTCTTTTTTGCAGTAATGAGTAAAATTTACTGGTTACTTCTAAACCACAGATGTTGTCATGCTGTTTTTCTGTTATTAAGTAGTTTTTTCTGTATAATTTGAAGTGATTTTTTTTAAAAATTAAATGACAGGAAAGCAGCTCATTAGTAATTACATAATAATGCATTACTTTTCAAATAACAGGCATGATGTTAACCAAAAGTGATGACTATGGAGTTACTGACTGAAAATAAAGCTCTAAACCCAGGTCTTTACCATTGCCTTCCACTCACCTTCCTCTTCCCCCATGGTTACAGCACTATGCTTTGGTATGTGGTGCAAAGTCATGTTATAATTGAAGAGAAGATATCACTCTTAAGACATCTGAAATCTCATGTGTGAATACACGCAAGGAGCTGGAATTGGCTGTAGCACCCACTCTTTTGAGTATATACATGAAGCATACCTAAATATTATACTACATAAGGTGCAAAACTGAAAAAGAAGGAATTTCTTGTTTAAAAAACAGAGGATGGGAGACTCATAGCTTGTTCTTCCAGGCCCCCTTTTTCCCAAGTGCAATCTTTCTTCTTATTTTCTCTCCTTTTAAAGAACTGGTTATCTAATTCATTTATTTGGGCAAATAGTTTGTTATTATTATGAGTCATGTACAACAGACCAGAAATTTACAGTGAAACACACTCTGGTTCCTTCTGTTTAAAAGTACAAAAAACCAAGCAAAATAATATTCCTCTTTCCAGGTAGGACTAATAAGAGATAAGGGGATGACATAAAAGGTTCAGAAATCCTGCCTAAAATGCCTTTAAATAACATTTAAAAGTTGTAATCGGTAAGTCTCTTTTCTTTGTTCATGTCAGAACCACCAGAGTACAATCAAGAACAGAACAGAACTTTCACCCAATATAAAGAGCTTTTGGGGGCAGCGATTGTCAAATATTCCATGGTACAGATTGAAGATCCAGAAGAACTGGGAAGAACTGGACAACATTACTGTACTTATTACACAAAAGCAGTCACAATGCAACTATTTGCTGTGGTACTTTTGATATTTAGTTACACTCTTGTTTCCTTGCCAACCTAGCAGTTTGAAAGCATGTAAGTGCGAGTAGATAAATCGGTACCACCTCGGTGGGAAGGTAAACAGTGTTCCGTGTATAGCCGCGCTGGCCATGTGACAACGGAAACTGTCTTCGGACAAACGCTGGCTCTACGGCTTGGAAACGGAGATGAGCACCGCCCCCTTAGAGTCGAACACGACTGACTAAAATGTCAAGGGGAACCTTTACCTTTACCTTTTTACACTCTTGTTGCCCTGAATAACTAGTTAGTTAATTATGTGCTGTCAAGTCGGAGCCGACTTATAGAGGACCCTAACAAGGCTTTCAAAGTAAATGAGATATGTAAGGAGTGGTTTTACCAGTTCCACTCTCCATGGCTAAGAAGAGATTTGAAACCTAGTCTGCCACTCTATCTATTACAACACACTAGGTACCACCCCTTAATTGCACATGAATATATGACTTTTAACTAATTATTACCGAGCTCTGGCTAGGCCCCTTTCTCAAGATGGAATCATCTGAGCAAAAAGTAACTGGAAGAAAGGACTACGTGAGACAAAATGGTGGAAGAAGGTTTTATACCCCAATGCTTTTTCCTTTAAATCACATAAGATCATGTGCATGCAGATGCACATACACAGATACACACTTGTTGTAATATCATGTGCATGCAGATGCACATACACAGATATACACTTGTACAGTACTTTGGATCTTAGAAGCCAGGATTCCTGCTTTGTCAGGAATAAGGAAGGAGAGACCCTATTAGCGTTTGGTGGTGAGGGTTTTTTGCAAACTGCAGAGACCCTCTCTGTAAATCTTCAAACAAACCTTCCTTTTCTTCTTTTCTACCACATTGCCTTTTACAGATCCCCTCTGCCCTGCCAGAGACAAACTCAACTGCCTTCTCCGTCGACGGCTGGGATGTGGGCCCGAGGGGGCACCTAGCTGTGGCCCGTGTTTCCCCAATTATGAGGAAGATGCAGGCGGCGACTGTGTGAAAGTCCCCAAACATGGTAAGAGCTGCAAGCTGAGAATTCTTCTGACCCATAAGTGGAGAGGGACTGTGCCTTTCAAGAGTCTACAGGAAGAGCAAAAATATTTGGGTTAAGATTCTGGTCATGATAACTGAGGATTACAGAGGGATTCTTCAGCCAAAAAAAAAGTACATTAAGATTGTTCAATCAATCAATCAATCAAAACCTTTATTGGCATTAAAACCACTAACCATGCAAACCAAGATTATACTTTCCACTGCAATAAAATAAATATGGTCAAGTTACGCCAAATTAAGGTTGTTTTGTCCCTGTTTACCCCATACATCCTTGTTGCCTGAGGTGAATTAGGATCAGAACCACTGCAACAGCTGAGGGAACAAATCTGTGCCTACTGTTGATATCTGTTGAACTGTTGCTCTTCAGGTCTGTCTGTCTTTCTGCCTTCAGCATAAAAGGAGAAAGAAAAAGAAATGGAAACCCATTGATAAACTGTTGTGACCAATTTATTATGTGACACTTCTGTGAAAAAAAAATCACTACTGTGTCAATTTTATGGTACAGGTCCAGCTGATGTGTGCATCTAGTCCCTGTTTGTCTGGATATAATAAACATTTTCCAGTCTGTAGAGTCTAAGGCCAGATCCCATGAAGTGAAACTTACTACTGTATGTATCTCACCCTTGCCATTCCCTGCTTATAAAAGTGCCCTGGGAGTGGAAACAGGCTAAGTGGATCATTTTAGTGACTAGCTTGGAACATTTATCTTTTTGGATGGCACCCAGACTCCTCCAACCAGAAAAGCTGCCATGTTGCTGCCTAGGGCATTCTGGGGCTTGTAGTCCAAATGTGTAACTTTAGCAAACTCTGGGTAGTGTTGAATGCCCTTTGGAACAAACAGTGATTCCATCATTCTTTTCAAAAAAGAATAGTGAGATTTTTGTTTTTTAAAAAATCCTCCTGAACTTCATCATTTTTGAGAATGGAGTATGTTATATCATCTTATCTCCAACTCTTTCTGAGTGAACTGAATTACTGTATCTAAATCAGCCATTCTCGATGTGGGTCATACAATATGTCCTCTTTGGGGACCCCTGGCATAATTGAAAGGGGCCACAGTCTGGAAACAATTCTCTGTACATCACCTTACAAGGTTCATTATGCAACTTATACTATCCTGATTGGGCCTGTGTTTATTTCATATTGTGTTTATGACTATGGCCAAAACAAAAACAAAAAAAGTTGGGAACGGCTGATCTAGACCCATTATAATGTAACTCGGGCCTGATGATTATGTCCTCTTTGACTCCATCGGAACTCTTTGCAGCCTCTGACAGCATCCACTCAATGCTCTGAAGCTGCAGGGAAGTCTCCCATGGACTGCAATATTCTTCTGAACTGCTTGCCCAGGATGGGATTTGGAGACACTGTTTTCTGGAGGGATGACTTGAAAAAGCAATGCTGAAGAAGTCTTTTTAAATAACGTCTTCTAGGCTATGAAACTATGGTGTCCCCCCAAGATTCCAGTTTATTGCTCTTGCTAAGCAACCTATAAATGAAATTGCTGAGAAAGGTTGTCTGGAGTTCTGGTATCTAGTACTGTACTTCCCATATGACTGAGGGGAGGATTTCTATGACACTTCACATTTTCTCTGCAACTTACATTTGAACCCATAAGCAAGTTCAAACATGTTTATGAGTAATCTGGCCTTTCTCGCCAAATTACACATAAAAATGTTCAAACCCACACAGTCTGGCCTTTCTCACCAGATTATTCATAAAAATTTTCAAACCCACACATAAACATAAGCATAGGTTGCAGGAAAAAAAAAGAATTTATAATAGACATCTTGCTTTCCTTCTGCCTAAATCCAAAGAAGCTGTTGAACTTCTAAATCAGTGTTTGATGTTAGTAAAGGACAGAATGGGAGTGAACGGACTGACGTTTTTAATTCAGACGAGAAGGGCTTTCGGTCAAATGAAGGTGGAAGAAGGAATACCAAGTTGTATACACTCTCTTCTGTAAAAACCCAGTTTCACAGTTAGGGAGTCCTTCTTGATTCTGTCAAATGTTGATGCCCAGACTGTAGTGAGAGTTAGTTGCCCAGATCTTAGTGATGTTATTTGTAATGATGGTGTTCCCAAAGCTAGTGTGCTAACTATACCCATTCTTGGAATGTCAGATCTAACCACAATGGCATATATTTTAGCTACATGCTAGCCAAAAGCTTGCTGGACATTTATGCCTATGCAAGAGGAGCTGCAGAGGTTCCCACAGCTAGGTATGTCAAGCTGCTGGGCACATGTCAGAGGCATGATCAGACACATGACCTTCAGGCAAGGTCACCTTGTCAGTTAGCCATGGTAACTTTGGCAATTCCTCTTGAGCTTATGTAAATATCCAGTAGGATCCTAGTTTCTGCCTTATATGGCTTGGGACCAAGCCATTTGTGAGACCACAGCCTCGTGTACAAGCCTGTCTGAGACACTTTTCCAGAGCCTTCCATTACTGGCTTTTATGTTTGGCGGGAACGTGAGATGGGGCCTTTTTGGTGGCTGCTCTCAGGCTGTAGACCTTCCTGTGAAGGAAAACCAGGTATTATTAGCTGGTGGGTGATGGAGATAATTCTGCTCATGTGCCTCAAACTGAATTGTTTTTATGTTTTAGTTACAATTTATCCATTTCATCTTGCATTTTAGTGCAGCTGGCCACCTTGAGCACCATTTATGATAGAAAAGTAGGATATAATTTTAAGAAATAATATCAATAACTAATCATACCTTAGGTCTAGTACAGAAACACCTAGTGTTGGGAGATTATTCTGTCTCCAGTGGAAACATCTCCTGGAGCTATTGTCCAAGAAAAAAAAATGTTTCTGAACTGTGGCCTTGAATGATATGCAGTTGTATTACAAGCAAAAACTACCTTTGTTCACATAATAATATTAACAGAATTTTTCGACCAAGCATCATTTTGTATAATGGTGCACAAAACAGATGGACCATTGCCCTCAGGGAAAATGCATTGTGTGCAGAAGTACACTTCCCCAACCTGGGATCATGCTCAATAGCCACTGAATGCTGACTGCCCCCCCCTCCGGGAGGGAAGAGAAATAAAAAAGAAATTGTTTATTTATTTATTTAATTAATTTATATCCTGCCCATCTAGACCAAAGTCTACTCTGGGCAGTGAACAGCAATTCATAAAATAATAACAGTATAAAATAAAACAACACCATTAATATAATACAAGATGGCAAGAATAAATTAAATAATGGCAGGAGGGAAGGCCTGCTTAAAGAGGCAGATCTTAAGCTTGCTCTTAAAAACACCCAGTGAGGGAGTCAGACAAATTTCTGGGGGGAGATTGTTCCAGAGGTGAGGGGCCACGGCCAAGAAGGCCCAGTTTCTTGTTCGTTCTCTCCAGGTCTCCCTCGGCGTTAGGCTTCTCAGCCGCCCAACGAGTCACAACGAGTGATTCGGGTAGATCTACGTAGGTGGGAGCAGGCATTCCGTTAGATATCGAGGACCTAAACCACTTAGGGCTTTATCAGTCATCATTAATACTTTGAAATCAATGTGGAAATAAATGGGTAGCCTTACCGTGGCGCGGCCTGAAACCCAACTGAAATGGATCCAGGGCATTGGTTTCATCCAAAAGGCCCTGGAGCTGATCAGCCACCACCCTCTCTACCATTTTGCTGAGGAAAGAAACATTGGTGACAAGTCCATAATTGCCAATGTCATTTGCCACCAAACTTGGTTTCTTCCTAATGGGCCTAATGACTGGAGTCGCTCCTGGAGAGACCCATTAATTATTGCAGTGGCCAATCCAGTTGTTATACTGTAGGCCTGGCTGCTTTGATTAGCCAGGGCGGGCAAGGGTCAAGAGAGGAGGTGTTGCCATTCTGGAGAAGAAAGAGGTAGAAAGTAATGGAGTATCCTGACCTAAAGAGTTGCACCATACATATCATTGTATTTTTTGTTGTTTCCCACATTAGTTCTTATTGTGGCCTTTCTTTTCATTCTCTCCTCCACTGTTGACATTGTTGCAGAGTTTTGAATTTCTGGTAAAATTCCCTTTTGTTAGGCATTAGAAGTACAGAGATCCGTAGAAAATAGCTACAAGTTCCCCAGTGTCCACCCTTTTCTCATTAACTGACACTTAAGGTCTCAATAACTCTCTCTGAGATTTTGGTAGGAGAAAGAGTAAAAATGCTTCATTACTTACAGTTCCAAACAGGTCAATAGCAAACAAACAAACTGCCTCCAACAGAGAAAGGCAGGAAGCCAGGCACTTGGCTGAGAGGTGGGGCTCTCTTTTGAAATCAAATATTGGAAAGGATGATTCGTTAGTGCTGGATAGATGTATAATCACTTCAGTCAAGAAACGTCCCTCCCAGTTGCACAAACCACATACAGTATGCAAGGTTGCAAACAAAGCTCCAACACAAATAAGGATTATATATTCCTCAAGGGAAAGGAATGCCTGGTTGTTGTTGCTCATATTATTCTGTCAAGTAGAATTGGGTACATTACATCTTGTGTTGTAGCTAGGACAGTTGGCGAGTAGAAGTCACAGAGGAGAGGATCTGCTAAGTGGTGCTTCAAATACCTCATTTTGCTTACTTGTTTCTCCTCTCTTTTAGAAAGCAAACCCAAAACCCAGAAGAGGCCCAAAGATTTGCCTGGCCTCATCCGCTCTCTCCTGGCCAAGCATGAAAAAGGGCTGCGACTGCCAAGCCCAGAGACCACTCTGACTGGTATGTATATCGAATCGACCAATCCCAGAGCCTGGAATTTTTTTAAAAAAGTACAATAGCTTACAGAAATCTGTAACTAGGTCCTTGTTGGCATGTCGGTATTTTCAAGGGGCAATATCAGAACTGGCCCAGCCACTGTAGGAAATTAGAATGTCTTTCCTTTTAGCAACGGATAATGCATTGCATGTTATTAAAGCATAATGCAACAATCTGCTTTTTTGAAATATTATGAAAACAGTCATTTGACTGTTTTAATATATATATTTTAATTTACCTGAACATTCCACACTAGACCTGAAATTTGCCATTCTGGAGAAGAAAAATTACAGGGCAAGAACCCAAAGAGAGAGAGAGAGAGAGAGAGAGAGAGAGAGCTGAGATAAAATATATACACATGTTTAGAACTCATCTCAATGGACTCAATATAAGCAAAGGTTTCTTAGGTCATTATAAAATATTGTGTTGTATCTGCTGAAATTCCCAGGTACTGTATATTTCTTTACTACCTACCAATCCCATCTCACAGTCCCCACTGGTGATTAGAGATAATCATTCTCTTATTGTTCCTGCTGTTAAATATAGTCTGGAATTAATTTAACCACCAATCATTGTCATTGTTTACAGAATAATGCTTCCTGGGAGGGGAACTGACTATTAACAGGGGTTTTAAAGGTCATTGCCAGGTCAACAACTTTTGCCCAAATACAGTCTCTGATTTGGAGCCATGTATAAATATTTTCCATGTAGATTCACTCTTAGGTCTGAGAAAGTGGACTTGATCCATGAAGGCTCACATTAAAATACCAGTGAGTCTTTAAGGTGCCACAATGTTTTTGTCTTCTTTTATCTTTTTAAATTTTTTTCTGTTGTTTTTGTCAATATAATAAACAACACACAAAGTTCCACTGTTAAAAGTAACATTCTATATTGTGACCACCATCACCCCTTTTGAGAAGTGAATGCCCACTTGTGGCCAGTGAAACTTGCACAACCCACTAAACCCACTTTTGAGGGACCTGATGTATCCACAAATGGGACCCCTAAATGGGTGGTGTCTTTTCCCCCCCTCAGAAAAAGTGGCTCATTTATGAGTGTGTATGTGTGTGGGTATGTGTGTGTGTCCAAACTCCTTCAGCCAAAGTTTTCTTGCCAGCCAAAACAATCAAAATGAGAAGTGGGCATTTCCAGTTTTGATCTTTTTTGCCCAAACCTTTTGTCATTTCCCACTATTTCCAGGCCTTATACAGCCCATGGTGGTGCTGGAGGTGAAAATTTGGCCCTCATACCTATTAAAGTTGGCTGTTCCCATAACTACTAGCATGTATTACAGAGGAAACTTCATTATATTAAATCAGAAGCCCTTGGATACAAAACACTCATTATTATTGGTCTAGAGTGCAAGCAGCTGTCTGGGCGTTCAAACATGAGTCTTTGCTAGTCGGACATAAGTGCCACAGACTGAACCTGGAGCTCCAAAGCTCATGCTCTGCCACCACTGAAAAATGGAAGTCACCTTCATTCCAGGGGGAAAATTGTTTTCTAACAGCCTGCTAAAAGCATGGAGAGAAGGTCCATTTAACTAAGCAATCAAGAAAGCAAACCTTAAATCCTTGATTAATTAGCTACCAGTGAATATATTAAATGTAAATTTTTATATAATTGTTATGTGCTCTCAGATTGCTTCTGAAATGTGGCAACCCTAATAATATGAGAGACACTCAAGGGATGGTTTATCATCGCAGTCACCCCCAGGGAATTTCTATGGCTGAGTTTAAACCTAGGTTTCTGGTGTTCTGACATAACACTGTCTCCACTGCATCATACCAGCTCTCTAATTCTGCATAACATGGGATCATAGAATCATGATGTTGGAAGGGGCCCATAAGGCCATCCAGTCCAACCCCCTGCTCAATGCAGGAATCCAAATCAAAGGATATCTGCCAGATGGTTGTCTGAATTTCTCTTGAATGCCTCCATAAATCAAGTCACATCTGATTTACGGTGACCCTTATATGGTTCTCAAAGTACTGTATGTGACCTATCCAACAAATGAATTTGCCAGTACCACCAGTCTGAATTTCTCTTGAATGCCTCCATAAACCAAGTCACATCTGATTTACAGAGATCCTTATATGGTTCTCAAAGTATGTGACATATTCAACAAATGACTTTGCCAGTACCACCACCCAGTGAGTGGTAGATTAGGGATTTCAATCCATGTCTCCCTAATCCCAGTCTGTTGCTCTATGCATTGCACCACACTGGTGCTTTAACCAGAATATAGGCACCATATTACGGAATGACAGAGCAACATTCATACATCCCCTCCCCCAGTGTTATCCTGCAGCATCCCCCAAAACTGTGCTGCCACACTCTGCCAATGAACTGGAACAATCTCAATGAAAGCAAACAAAGTTTGCTTGCTTTAAATGGCTTGTTGTGGTTTGCCCCTGAAACTTGACATCAAACTGGGGTGAGGAGGTGGTACACTTTAAAGCACATCAAATGCTTTAATGTTTTTTTCTGGTTTGTGGAGATGTATTAGCAGCAGGGATGTGCAGACCTTGGCGAAGCAGAAATTAAACCCAGGTTGCTCACCTCAGCTTTACTGATAAAACACCTGATACCTTTCCAATGTTGTCGGAGCAAAATTCCCACCATCTAGATCCAGAGGTCAAATTTCCATCATATATGTCCGTAGGTCAAGCCAGCAGGACTTGTTATGAGTTAACTGTGTAAGTCTTATCAGTTTCAAGCTCATCATTTAAATGAAAAGGTGCCACTAAATTACAGGCATTACTAAGGAGTATTTTCTCTTACAGAAAATTGCAATAGCCAATGTGCCACTCAGACGTCAAATGCTGAAGAACTATAGAAAAACAGGATTATTCAAACTCTTTTTCTTGTCTTGTCTTGTCAGGCAGCACTGGGCTGTTTGAACCTCCCAGCCAGCCTACCCCATTCCCCACTTCTCTCCCTACAAACATCTCCTATTTCATGAGCACCATCCCAGTTTCTTCAGAATCCTATGAAGACACTCCTGCCTTGGCCACCACACCCCCAGGGAGGGTGAAAGTGGATTTTAAGCAACGATCCCGTCCCCCAGCTACAAGTTTGAACAAAGCTGTATCCCTCAGTGAGTATATGAGTGATGAGGAGGGTTGGAATGAGAGCTTGATTGTGTGAAAACTACAATTGGTCATCCCCACCTGACTCTAAAAGGATTAATTGTTCATCTCTACAGCTCTTGTGGTGATGTGCACAGTGACAGGGGTTTCTGGATTGGTGGTGGCTGCCATTTGTTGGTACAGGTAGGTAGCAATTGTCACTGAGTTTTGGTTAAATTACTCTAGCTGCACAGGAGAAGTGCAGGGATTGACAAAACTGAATTAGCTTCAAGTTCCCCAGAGTAGTCCAACCCTTTTGCTCATCAGCTGGCACTTACAGTCTCAATAACCCACATTGAGACATTAGCAGAGGACAAAATAAAAATGTTTCATTTACTTACAGTTGAACAGATAATAGAAAACTAAAAACATGACTGCTTTAAGCAACAGGCCTCAACAGACTAACTCCATTTCAACACTGACTGCAACATACTACATTCTTTAACTACACACTAACTGCTTACTGACTAAAAAGAGGGGAAAAGTCACTTAAGCAGAGAGAGGTAGCTCTCTTTGACATCGGAGACAGGGAAGGAACAATTGGTTACTGCTGGATTGACTGACAGTCACCTCAGCCCAGAAAGGTACCTCCCATCAAAATCTACTAAGGTCAGCATATGAGGCTGAAATAACTCCAACATAAATTGCTGCTGATGTTTTTAGGTATTTCTTACTATTATTTTTATTAATTCAGAACTTAGACTACAGCTCACAGAACAGCAGCCATGTTGGTTTGGGGACTCTGGGACCTGTAATCCCAAAAAGGAAATTCCAAGTTGCTGCTGCTATTGCTATTACTGTTACTACTAGTATTAGATAGACCTTAGCCATGTAGGATCGGCTTCCTAGAATCGTTAAACAAGAGGGGTAACCAAAATTGGACAACTGGAGATGAGTGCAAAGGACATATTTTGAATGCCTAAGAATCACCTTGAATAAGTAGAATAAAGGAATATAGATTTTCTGAATACCAGAACCCCTCCTGCCATAGAAAAAAAGGTAATCCAGCTCACTCCTAAGATTATTTCATTCCTGCCCTGTTATGAGGAGGCAAACATCTAGCATTCCTAAATCCACAAATAGATCATTATCTCTCTTCTGCCTCCTGATTTATTCAGTGCAGTCAATGTAAGTGCTGCTCTACTGAGTTCTGAAAGCAAAAAATAGCTGCTTGGCCCCGGTGCTTATCATGTAAATTTCAAACAAGCTGTAGTTGTACAGAGGGAAGGGCAGGATGAAAGATAGAGAAGGAGAACTGAGAGAAGAATTTGCCCACGTGTAATTTTCGCATACTTAGCCTTTGTTTCCAAAGGGACTGGAGACAAATTGTTTGAATCAAAGATTTATTTATGGGAAAAACTGAAGAACAAAGAGTCTCATGGAACTTTAAAAAGGGGAAAGAAATGTTGCTTCAAATCTACATATGCTAGACCAAAATCCTGTTAAGAAAAACTGCATGCCTAAGGGCCATTGTGCAGCAGGTTTTTTTCCCTCCGGCAGGGGTCCCTATTGATCGGTCACGCGACCGCACAACCTGTAGTGTGAAGGGTGATGGGAAACAGACCTCCTTGGAAGAAGGATCTCATTTGCTCTGGTGCTTTTGGGCACCAGGTTTTCCCACAGCAGTAGTCTGGCCTTAGTCTTTAACTACTTACAGTCATTTCGTCAGATAATGAATTTGTGTTTTAAGTCAATCACTGCCTCAATCTATGCAAAGGTATAGATATGCAAAAGCCCCAATTTTTTTCAGGTGCCACATATTTGGTTATCAGTTTCCTTGAAATATCCTAATTTGATGATCCTAACAACTACTAGAAAGCAGCAATGACACGGAATACACGAAATAAACCAGAGAGAGAGGCTGAATATGGCTAAATCAGGAAATTTGACAACTCTATTTATTTAAAACCATACCACAGATGCCCTAAATGGCTTTGGATGAGCCCTTTAAAAAAAAATATATATATTTAATTATTGATTTATCCGCCCCGCCTTTCTCCTTAAAAAGGACCCAAGGCGGCTTACCGCTATTAAAAGACAATATTTAAGTTAACAGCAGTGAGTATACAATGTTAAAAGGATCAATGAGTACAATACCAAAAAACAAAACAAACCCCACCATCCTGTGATTAATTGACAGGCTACAGACAGAAGTACGCTTAGCTCAGAAGATGGCATACACAGCCACACGTGGAAACCAGTACCGATACCATCAGCCCAGTGCTGTAAGTGATTGTGCTCTTCGGTTCTCTTCATGGGTATTTGTGTAGGTGGGGGTGAGAGTGATGGTGAGGTGTCAGAAAACTCCTTCAGTTCATAGTCCTGGATCCCAGTTCCCATACAGAGGCTTATTGGGAAGTTTGAGAAAGGAGCTACTTCACACACAGCGCATAGGTGAACTATTGGAGAGCAGTAATTATGCTATACAAGTGCCTTGGCTTAAAGCCCCGATTATCTGCTCCATCTACAGCTCTACATTCCAGGGAAGTGGGAATGCCACCTGCAACAGCTGGTTCCAAATAACACTATTCTGTCTTAAAGATGCTACAAAACTCTGGTTGTTTTAGTTTGGCTGTGGAATTTATTGTCATACATACTATTATTGTCCCAATAACAGGAGAAAGACCGCATAGGAACACAATGAGTGAGTGGGTGAGTACAGTGGTGCCTCGCTTAACGAGGATAATCCATTCCAGCGAAATCGCTGTAGAATGAAATCATCGTTAAGCGAAATAAAAAAGCCCATTGAAATGCATTGAAAACCCTTCAATGTGTTCCAATGGGCTGAAAACACCGTCCAGCGAAAATCCTCCATAGGGGCGGCCATTTTCGGTGCCTGTAAAGCGAGGAATCTGTCCTAGAAAACAGTGGGGGGCCATTGTGTACACCCGGCGGCCATTTTGAAACCCGACGATCAGCTGTTCTTAGATGGAGGCAGGGAACTGATCATCGTGAAGTGGATTTTTCCCATTTAAACCATTGTTTAAAAAAACTAATCGTCAAGCGATTTCCTCGTTAAGCGAGGCACTACTGTAAATATGTAAGTAATGGCTACTGACATGGATGGTTTTTAATGGGGATTAGACAAATTCAAAGGCAAAAGCAAAGTGTGCTGCTTGCAAAGTTATAAAGCATTCTCTGGGTGGTTTACACACACGAGCTGGATACTCAGTTTACCGACCTCGGAGGGATGGAAGGTTTAGTCAGTCTTGAGTATGCTACCTGAGACCAAGGAGATCAAACTCAGTTTGTGAGCAGAAACTGGACTGCAATTTAACCACGGCACCATAAGGCTCCTAAGTCCCAAATTTTAGGATCATACCAATTAATATCCGCTACTTGTTATCATCATAGCGATTGCCTTCAGGATCATATTCAGCCTGCCTCTGGATTTCCTAATTGAGAACAACAACAACAAAAATGAGGTGGTCTCTTCAGTTTTGCTTATTGACTTCACATAAGCACCTGGTTGGTCACTATGGGGAATAGGATCATGGACCAGGTAGGGTTTTTATCAATGAGGCGGTCCTTAATCCTTTGTTTCTGTGATTCCCCTTCAGTACATGGACTCTAGGCTAGCCCAGTCTTGCCAAGTTCACCACTATCAACATCAGAAGAAACTGCTCACCAGTGAGGAGTAAGTACTCCGTTTTTAAAAAGCATCTTTTGGGGAGTGGGAGAAATTGAGAAACTACTAAGAGGGAAAGGCTCATCATTCAATTGTTAAGTCTGCCTGAACGGCTCCTATCTCTCGCAAACCAGTGGAAAATCATTTTTGTAACTAAAGCAAAAGTAAAATTAAAAATCCCATAAGCATCTCTTCCTCTCCCAAGGAAAAGCAATTTGACAATTAAAGTCAAATTGCCACTCTTCCATGACATCCCAAAATCTACCGCCTCAGGTAGATGCCTCACTCTGACAAACGGTAGGGCTGGGCATATTGGCTGCACAGAATGTGCAAAACCACCGGCGTAATTCCTGCCCACCTCCGATAAAAGGACCACACGGGTAACAAGCCTCTGGAAGGCCTCTGTCTCAGATAATAGAAGGCCCCTTCATGTCAGATGAGCTAATATTGGTCCAGATGGACGTTTGGTTTGGTTCAGAGGTTTTTCTCCATCAAAAGTTTATTACAAGCTAAAACTGGTTTTGTTTTTTATTTGGATCAGAATGGAAGTGAGAAATTTCAGGACTGCTTTCTATTAAACAACACTACAATCACTCCCAGAAGCCCTTCCCCTTTAGAAATTAGATGTTAAGGAGGATCTCGCATAACTTTCTGCCACGTCTATTTGTTTCCTAAGCAGAACATAATAAATAATAGGGTTTCCCCCTGCGTATTGGTCATCCATTCGTGATTCAAAATGGTAGCATTTTAAGAACAGCTTTACCATATGACAGATTGTCAAGAGGAGCCTTCCTAAACCCAGTATTGCCCAGGTGTGTTGGATTACAACACCCACCTTCCCCAGGCAAGACTGAAGTAGCTGATTTAGAGTTTCATAAAAGGTTTTAAAAAACAGTTATGCTGAGGCTGTTAAAAACCACATTGTTTAATTATTCTAAAAAACTGGGATCTCTTTGTTTTTCATGTCCTGAACCTCCTATCTGAAGCTCTTCTCTCCTTCTCCAGGAGAGATCCTCCAAAACCACCAGTACAGCAGCTCTCCACAGAGTCAGAGACTGAAAATGGAGATTATACCGTGTACGAGTGTCCTGGGCTAGCCCCGGTATGTAACCTTCCTGTAGTGTTCATACTGTCAGGAGTGAGGGCGGTTTGCAGTAACCCCTGCTCAGCCTTCCAAGCCCTTCTCCTGAAAATTTCAGTTCTCCTTCTGATCACAACACAGGCACCAAAAATGGGCTCCAGCTGTCCTATAGGGAGATCTATATATATTTTAATTGCTTTGATTTCTAGCCTGCATCAACAGCGCAAGCTCCCCTGACACCTGAGGTGGGAAGAGAAAGGCGCCTGCTGAGCCCCCATGATAAAACTCCCATTATGCAGCCCCTACCAGGAGGTGGAAGGCAGTGGGTGGCCCTTTTCTCCCCATGGCCACATGCTGGTGGACCCCGGCTGCTCCATGGCTGGCCCTCGAAATAAGGCCCAAACGTCTTTATAGTCAAGCCATTATGGAGAGGACCTTATTTGGCTGGCTCCCTCCCTGATACCTCAGCCAGGACGACAAATTATTTCATATTTGGATAATGTGCTGTTTTTAGCTCTTAACGTTGTGTTTTAAATGATGTGAGCCACCTTAGGTCCTTTTTTTTAGGAGAAAAGTGATTTGGATAATGTGCTGTTTTTAGCTCTTAATGTTGTGTTTTAAATGATGTGAGCCACCTTGGGTCCTTTTTTAAGTTGAAAAGCGGGGTAAAAATATTTATAAATCAATAAAGCACACCCGGGGTATATAAGCGAGTGGCTGTGGGGGACTGAAACACCACAGTGGCCCTGCTTCTCCTCCTCTTTCTCAGCGTGTGAGACCAGGAGAGGAGCAATCCTCAGATGGGACATGGGGTGTGTGGCAACAGGGAAAAAGAAAAGGGTGGCTGGAGAGGCTGCTTGAGGCATGGCAAAGTGAGTGGCCATGGCTGCTCTGCCACAGGTGCACCACTGTTCCAGGGCCTAAGATGGCTGCCTCATTTTTGCTAGCCCTGCTATCCTGCCTTTTGGTCCTCAACGGTCCCAAATGCAGTTTACATACAATCATTCGATCCCACTAGGTCTGCGATAGCCTCCTCTGGATCAGCCCTTTTCTCACCTGAGGCAAAAGAGGCATTTTACACGCAGAAGCCAACTGGGCTGCTAACTGAACCTTGTATGGGGGTAAAATCTTCTAATGCCCCTCAGGATGGCAGCCCACCTGAGGGGAGAAAGACGCATGGCTCTATCCTCAAAGAGAAAGAGACAGTCCAGAGGATAAGAAAAAGCTGCCAGTGTTGTGCCATCTCCGGCAGCTACCTCACTCTGTCCAATGGCAGGGACGGCCCTAATTTCTGGCAGGTCTCATTGCCCTAGGTTACCGTATCCCTTCTACTTCCTTCCTCACCGGGATTACTCATCTTTTCCTAATCCAAGAGAAGCAGCCGCAACCGGGCCTCAGGTGTGCTGCTGGGCAATATCTCTTGGGTTGCCAAGGAAATTATGCACACAGTATTCTACCCAATTGTTTAGTAGGGCATAAACCCTCCTTTTAGTCCTGAGTGCAAAGGGTTATTAATTTTATTTTAATGAATTTGAATATATTAGCATCCACTCTGGGAGCACCTCATTGCCTGAAAAGCAGAATAGCTTAGATCTTAAAAAAAGAGAGAGAAATAGAAGCACTATTGTAACTGACAAAATAATAACAAAGTCAAATAAAGATTCTGTTTCTAAACTGTAAGCAGACTATTTTCATCCCCACCCGCCCCTTTTTAGTGTGTTTGGTTTCCACTGGCATGTGTCTCTTTCCCTACCTCCCACCCTGAACAACGTAAGGATTATAATTGACATTTCTACCACCCTTCCTCTGCTCAACATAAATCTCACATAAAGGCCATTTGTATTTAAATGCCATAATTTCTTTTAGATATATGTAAGAAAGAGGGTTACATTAAAAGAATTAATTCAAGCTAGCATTTCCCAAGATGGTCCTCTCTAGGTATCTTGGATTACAAGGCCCATCATCCTAGCCTATCTGAAGAGCCTCAGATCGCAGAAGGCTGTTCTATCATAGCTTAGGGGGCTACTTGGATTTCAATGAATTTCATATTTCTCTAGTTTTGTCAAGAGCGGCTTCTTGGCTTGCTTATGTGAGATGCCAGCTGGATCATTTACTCACATCTTTTTGCCCTACTGATTTCTCCTCGCCCCACACTAATCTGCACAGCCTGTTGGGACAGCAGGAGATTGTCGCGTGTCACTGGCGATGGTAGTGTTTAGAGACCTTGGAACCTGACTGGAGTTGTCAGGCCAAAGCTGAGAGATGATCCACTAGAACGTTTTCCTGAATGGAGCAAGAGATGAGGTTCCTCTCGCAAGCTCCTGCTCGCTTTAGGAAGGAAGGTGGAGGAGCCCTCCAGGCTTGGTCAGTGGTGGCATCAGGGAAGGATTTTGGCACCAGTCCAGTTCCTCACTCAGACAGGCAGGTTGGTTTAATCTTTCGAAATAAGTGAACTCCTGTGCGTTATTTATGGCCCAAAGCCCAGGACCTAAAAACCAACCAAGGGCATCACTGAAAATCCCTTCAGGCATTTAATCTCGAAAGGTGAGGATGACAAGGCTGTGGACCTCCAGACAGACAGACACCCTGAAGACCTTTGTGTCCCAATGGGTGTAATTATAGGTGCTGCCATTTCCTTATCAGGGCTGTTGATCATGGAAACAAAAGCAGGACATCTCAAGTAGCTTTGGGGGCCAGCCTTTGTCTCCAAGGCCCCCTCCCCCAGGACAGAATGGGTCTGGGAATGGGCGTTTTCCTCTGCCCTGCTGGTTTCTCCTTGCCGCACACTAGTTTTAGTATAACCCATAAAAATCGTTATATAGAACTAGTTTTATATCAGAGATTTTTACGGGCATGGAGTGGGGCAGGGGGCTTTAAGGGTCTTCCCAAGACTCTCAACTTGAATGCTGCTGGAAGCATTCAGGAGCAGAAACAGGTTAATTATCTGCTTTGCATATAAACAAGCAAACAAAAAATAAACAAATGTATATTGTATATATATTGTTGGGGAGAACCGTGTGCTGGGCTGCAGGCTCCGCAGAAATTTCCCTGGGAGACTGCAAGAGGAATCCACTAAGGTCTTCAGGACCTCTGGATGGGGTGAGAACATGAGTTTGAAGGATTACCCGAATCTCTGTGTCATCATCAACCTTTGAAACCCAAACTCACTCCCCCCACTGTTTCAGCCTGAATGGGCTAGAAGTTGCGCCGCTCTCTTGCTGGAGATGGGAGAATCCCAGCCAAAGGAGATTCTAGGGGTCACAATCAAAAAAGGGTTAAATTTATAAGTTCTAAGTTGCTGTTATTGCTGCTGTTTTGGTAGCAATAAATTACCTCCAGTTCCCACCAGATGAAACAAACAGAGGGAAAAAAATTCCCTTTGCAGCTTAAACTTGATAAAAGAATTCCTTTCAAAGTGCCTTGAAGAGGGTTTTCAAAAATGCTCTTTAAAAATAACATTTCAATACTACCTTTGAATGTTACTTCTAAACAATTTGCTACAGACAGACAAGCACACGCACAAACACAACTTTGGAGCTATTTATGACACTTTTAGAAGTAACTAGAAAAGTAACTACTTAATGAGAAAGCAATTAAGTACATTATTTGTAACTAGTTATTTCCAAGATTTATGCTTGAGGTGTTACAACCCAAAGCTTGGAATTACCTAGTACTTTTTTTAAACTACAGCTTCCAATTATCCTTCCATTATTACCATGATGGTCAGTGACCATGCTGACTGTTTAGGCCAAAATAGTAACTTTTCAAGATCTGCCCCCATTTATAGTCTTGGTGGCTCACCACAGGAGTGCGGCTAGCTATGCACAGAACTATGGCTTCTCAGTGTGACACCTGGCTGCACCCAATACCCTTTGCACAGAGGTAGAGAGATGTTTGAATGACTGTACCTCTGGAGCAGTGGGGTCAAATGGCTTAGTCCTCCATTTACACCTCCGTAGCCCAGAGTTCTTTAAAGGTTCCAAAGACAGAGCCTCCAGGTTTAAACCTGATGCTAGCCGCATGCTCTACTCAGGGAGTGTTCATGGCAGAAAATGGGAATAAGACATTAAAAAGTAAAGGTAAAGGCCAGTCTAGATATGCAACAGGATCACAGTGTTTTCCTGGACTGCACTGCTCATACGTATGGACAAAAGTCGCATATTTGAGCACTGTCACATGCAGGAAAACTATTCACATAGAAAATTAGCATGTCTGACAAAAACTTTAATCTTTGGTTGTTGTGCCTCTGCCTTTAACCGAGACATGTTCAAAGATTAAGTTCTGCTATATGCAACCTGAAGTGACAGGAGTCCAGAAAAAAGAGAACTATGTGATTCTCATCCATAAGTAGGTAAATTGGCCATCAAGAAGGGTTCTCCCTTCCTTTCTGAGAATACTTTAATTGACATCTTCTCCTTTTCTCTTTCTACAGAGCGGTGAGATGGAGATCCACAACCCTCTCTTTGACACCACCACCCTGCACCAATGCCCTCCCTGAGAACATTTCTTCTCTCTTGCGCCACTCGGTGACCATCTCCACCTTCACCTCATGAATTTATACATGGAAGACTCCAGTTTGCAAAAAGAAAACCCAGCCTTGTATTCTGCTCCTTTGAGGAAAGATAGAATCCATATTATGTATTCCTCCATCACCATTTTATCTATCCTATGGGAATGGACTCAAAGGGAGGCATCTCTAGTGGCGTGGTTTTGTTTTGTTTTTTTGTGTTTTTTTAATGTAGAAATGCCTCAAATTAACATCACCTGGTAATTATGTGCCTGCATTCCTGGTGTTCCTAGAAACCCCTTTTCAAGCTGTTCTGATCCTATTAATTCTCCACTGGAGAGCTTTCCTCCGACCCAATCCAGCTAGGGATGCGCCTGTGAGCGGGAGGACTTCTTCCTCGTGCATAGCTGTTGTGGATGTTTATGCGCATGTACATGTGTATTCTCTCTCCCCATTCAGGGCTGGCCCAAAGTATATTGCTATCCCAGGAAGATGAGCAAATCCACACCGCTACATCCTCCCCCATCCCACTCCCATAAATAAAAGGTACCCAGTACCCAGCAGAGGTCAAATTAGTTTGGCACCAGCATCAGAAAGCGGCCACAAGCATGTGCAGTAGTAATAAATTAACTAAAAATCACTTGGCTTCCCTTTCATGATGACACCCAAGACTCACTCTGCCCAATGGTAGGTAGCTTTCTTCACAATGGTCTCGCAGTTCTCTGGCTCCTGATGGATTGGTGTGAAGCATCTTTGAATCAAACAGGGCAAAGCTTGCTGAAGTTACTTTTTCAGACTACAGCTCCCCAAATTTCCCTGCCAGCACGGTCGCTGTCTCAACTAAGAAATCTCGGAACTGTAGTCCAAAAAAGGAATTTTTCCAAGTTCTGCAAAGGGGTGGGGAGGGGGGGTCTGCATCCTTCCCCGTAGTGTTGTGCCTATTTGTGTGCAAATGCAACTGAACTGGGAGGCATGTTTCTGATTTCATATTATATATTTGCATGGTGTCAGCCTGTGATCCCTGACCAGAGGGTCTTTCAGAGTCAAATAGAGGGAGCTCTTACCTCTGATCTTTCCCCTAGCCCAGAAAGAGTTCTCGGAACTGTAGTCCAAAAAAGGAACTTTTCCAAGTTCTGCAAAGGGGGGGGGGTTCTGCATCCTTCCCCGTAGTGTTGTGCCTATTTGCCTGCAAATGCAACTGAACTGATCTCTCCCTTAGCCCAGAAAAATGCTTCTCTGCTCCAGCATCAAATCATCTACATGTGCGGGGGGGTCTGCAAGCAAACACACAACAAGCAAACACACAACAACAACAAGCAAACAAATCATATGGGTCATTCAGGGTGTTAGATGTGTCATGTGCTCAGACTTCAAGGATAGGATTATCTTGCTTGCAGCTCATTCTTTCAAGCAGCCACTGGTGAACCTAATGCAAAAGCATGGAAATTGAAGCTGCTCTACTTACAAGACAAAACACACATTAAAGATCAGAGGAAGAAAATACCTCTGGGCACTTAAAGCTACATGGAGAAGTCCCAGGTGGGCCCATGTGAAGAAGCCATTCTGCCTTAGCAGTAGCACTGCAAAGAAAGCTCTCGTTCAGTTCTGCATGGTGGGCTCCTAGAAGCTAGGTTCAGGACTTTCCTTTTTATATAGGCATGAAAGTTTTAGTGATCCTGCCACTGTCTCATTCCATGTCTGCCTGTGGTGTGGAACCTTTTCTTTCTCCAGCTTGAGCCGTTTAAATGGAGTGTTCCTTGAGAGTCTTCTTTTGTATGCAGTGCTTTGATGCTAGCAGCCAGCTTCTCTGTATAGCTCAGTTGCAGATACATACATGGATGTGTGCCAAAATGCATGGGGAAGCTCTGGACCTGCTTGCAGGGTGTGTGCGTCCTTCTATAGAAAGAGCATGGGCCCCGTTGAAGCTCCATGGGTGTGCCAGAAGAAAGATCCATGCTTTGCAGGACATTTGAACACTTAGGCATTAGGCATCCTTCAGTCTCGAGAGACTATGGTAATTTGCACACTACATAGAACCATAGTAGAGCTGGAAATGACCCAAGGATGACGGAGCAAGAAAAGGACAGCTAAAACGGCACTGCCATTAACAAGCAGTGAAAACCCGTGCATAGAAATCTCAACAGCCTATAATGTAGGAGCAGGTTGTAGTGCACTCACTTTCTGTTGTGGGGCTGTACTTCCATTTGTTTTTGAACAAATAGGGTTAACCATCTCCCACAGCTCAAATAAGTTACTTTGGGGACGAGGACTCTTAAGGATTCTGCTCCCTACATGCACAGCATGAGGTTGGGACATCCACAGACACGAGGGGGGAATACAACTAGACGGTCCATCTAGGCCAAAATGATCTCCTCTGACTAGCAGTAATTCACCAGGCAAGGGTATTCGGAGTGGTGAGGGTAGGAAGAGAGCTGCATAGATATATGTTAGTATAATTTTTGTGCATAGCACTTGCCGCTGTAATATAATGTGCCTATCTGTTTGCATTAAAATAATAATTTTAGGATATGTTTATCAGTTGTGAATTTCAGATTAAGCAACAGCTGTAGGGAAAACTGACAGCCATCTTTAATAATATTAATATTATTAATAATGTGCTGTTGAGTCAATTCTGACTTATGGTGACCCTTTTCAAGGTGTTCTACTTAGAGGACATTGAGAAGTGGTTTACATTTCCCTTCTTCTGGGGTCGCCCTGGAATTGTGCGAGCTTGCCTGAGGCAAGACAGCCTGGCTCTTTGAACCAAGGAATTTTCTAGTTCCTTGGTTTGCCCTCTAGCTTCTTGTCTCCTCTTACCTCACTGTTTAAAACCTCTTTCAGCTGCTCAGAACTTAGGCTTACTCATTCAATTCCTCACAGACTTGAATAAATGTGGAAGTGTTGTGGGCGCAGTGGGGAGGGGGAAGAAATGCAGATAAAGAGTATGTCCAGATGTTTCTATATTTTCTGTGTCTTTTTTTTCAAATTTTGTAATTATTTTTATGAGGTGAGAGTGAATGTTATTTGCACCGCCACACAGCAGCACCTCTGTAGGCTTGCCAAGTGACCAAGCTTGGGGGGCTCACTTTTCATACATTTAATAATAGCTTGAAGTGCAAAGTCAGTGGCTGTTAATGGGGTCAGGGAGAGAAAATGTGATTTTTGGGGATTTTTTTATTTTAAAAAAGCTGGCACCCAGTAGCACTTTTAGACCCCAGGTGGGCAGCGTGCCATCTTCCATTCGTGATCGCTGTGGGCTATGCTGGTTCTGGTTGCCATGAGTGATAACCCAAGAAACAGGATAGAAGCAGTACATTTTTACCCACCCTTGACCTACTGAGGCTCTTCTCTGCTTAACAGCCGCTGCGGCTCACTAGGATGATGTTTGTGTGTGTGGATGAAGTGGGAGTGTCAGGCAGAGCTCCCCTGCTACACAGAAGCAAACAAAAATTCCTTCAGACATTCCTACCCACCCACCCCATTCCTTCACCCCTCAATTCAGCTTGGAAACAGGAACTACACCTTGCTCCCAAAATTAGAAATGACCCTTCCCTCTGGACTTGGTTACCAAATTGGGCAGTTAGCTGCCTTCTTCACTTCTTTACTTTCTCTCTCCCCTCCCCATTTCCTTATTGTTTCCCACATTCACTCACAGGTGGGATTGGGCCCCTCTGCCTCAGGTAAGGAAGCAGGCATGCATGGGCTTGCCAAGAGAAAGACTCTTAGCTTAAGGCATCTCCCGTTTACCTTAATGGGCCACCATCCATTGATTCTGCTGTTTCTTACCAGTGAAATAGGGCTGCTGGCTCTCTAGCTACTGAAAACAAGCCTTCCTCAACTCACTATCCTCCATTAGAGATGAGCACAAAGTGCCAGTTCACTGATTCATGCCAGTTCATGCCAATCTCTACCCTCCATATCTTTTTTACTTTAACTCTCATCATCCTCAATGAACAGAGCCTTCGGCAAGGGACACAGTGGTTCCCAACTTTGGGTCCTCAGAAATCCAATTCCTAGAAATCCTGGCCCAGCATATCTAGTTGTGAAGGCTTCTGGGAGATTAAGCCCAAAGACATCTAGGGACTCAAGGCTGGGAACCCATAATCATTGGAAGAATTTTAGTTCAAAGCATCTGTTACCCTAGCCTTTCTTAAGAGTAAGTAGTATTTTGGACTACAAGTCCCACCAGCCCTTGGCAGCACAGTCACTGGTAACAGAATACAGAAATCATGGTGTTTTAGACCATGGGGATGTCACCAAGTATCTGTCATTTGTCCAGTCTGTGTATCTGAGGTTCCCCCTTATTATTCTTGTACCATTAACATCGGCATGGTTGCAAGAATTCAGCAGGCCTGACTTTTGCTCACCTCTAAATATCACCTTCGGAAACGTGGTTCTGTAATTCTTTTGTGTTAGGCTAGCATTGAAGAGTGAGGATAATTAATTTGTACTCGCGAAGGCTTTCACGGCCGGAATCTAATGGTTGTTGTGGGTTTTCTGGGCTCTTTGGCCGTGTTCTGAAGGTTGTTCTTCCTGACGTTTTTCCAGTCTCTGTGGCCGGCATCTTCAGAGGACTGGAGTAGGAGCTCTGTCCATGCTCTGGTCGCAGTTCCTACTCCAGTCCTCTGAAGATGCCCATGGCCACAGAGACTGGTGAAATGTCAGGAAGAACAACCTTCAGAACATGGCCAAAGAGCCCGAAAAACCCACAATAATTAATTTATTTGTTTAAAGATTTATACCCTGCAATTTAATTAAATGGCCAGTGTCACATGTGGTCTGGAACAACAACAAAACCTAGAGTGGGCCAATCAGGGCAACATTTGTAGATAAAAGATAGCAAATCATCTTCACTTTCCCTCTCTCTCTTCTTTCCCCTGCTGTGGCTACCAGGTTAGCAGCATTTGCTAATGACTCCAGTTCCCTCCTCAACCTCTAAGAGTTGTCGTGCCGTAGAACATGCAGGGCTGGCTCTAGCAGTGGCCAAACTGATGCAGTGGCCTCAGACGGTAAAATGGTAGGAGTGTCAAAAACCAACACAACACAACCTTTACTGTTCACCCGACATGCCACCAAAAGACGTTTTAGGCTTGTTTCCTCTTTCTGTCTCATGCCATTTGGCTCCTGGGATGGTGGCCAACTTCTTCAGTATCTGGCTTTGAGGGCTCTTCCAGGCCACTTTTTCTATGATGCCTTGCCCAAGGACCCTCTGTAGCCTTTCTGAGGAAGCTAGCCAGCATCTTTCGAGCCAAAGGGTGCAGTGCCGAACAGGGAGGCAACACCTCCGTTTTCGTGGGCAGCGTTCAGCATCCCCACTGGTCGTTTTCGTGGGCAGCGTTCAGCATCCCCGCTGGTTTGGCTTGATTGATTGATTGATTGCATTTATATGCTGCCCATCTAGACATAGTCTGCTCTGGGCAGCTCACTACATGCAAGATAAAAACAATTCAAAATACTGTATATATTAAAAGTTTTTCAACAATATACAGGACAACAATAGTTCAAGATGGAAAGAAAAGAGAATCCAGCTGATTTTCCTGGACAGTCGCACAGTCCCTTCCACCCTTGATTATATCTCAGCTAAAGCAGTTAACTTTTTATCAGAGTCTATTCACAAAACCAGTTTCGACTAGATTGCTCAATTCTAAGTTATGTAGTTCCTAAGAAGTCCTCCGCTTCACCCCTGAAACCTCTTAACTTTTTTTTGTTGCTGCTGGCTGCAGCATTTCGTTGCTGAGGCACCCACATTTAGTCCGGACAGACTGGTTTGCTCAGGGGAGACCTGGACAAGCTGGGGATGGGCCAGACTTCAGA